AAAAAAAACTCAGACCAGTTCAGTTCCTTCAAATACCTACGTCAAAATGGGTTCAGTAGGCGCTTAGAGTCAATTTATTGGATACACCTTGGTAGAACCAGGTTGGTTTCCCTTTTGCGTTCAGAAGTTCCTTAATACTGGTTGGATAAATTCAATAAAGAGCTGGCAACATTCAGAGGTTTTGATCCATAATGACCTTTGCCAACACATTGTTGCAGTAAATTTGTCAGCTGTACAGTAATGATGGAGATCTTCTGTTCAACCACATGCCAAAGGTGCTCTGTTGAATTAGTGCTTGTCGAGGAATGTGAGTACAGAAAATGCATTATCATGCTCAAAAAACTGGTTAGACAGAATCTGAACTGTGTGACATGGTGTGCTATCTTTCTGGGAAATGGGAGGAACGTGCTCAGCTATAACACTCAGGTAGGCTATTGTGATTAAATGATAATTGTTTTCCCCGATAAAAATATATGAGAAAAAATATGTAAAAAATATTGCCGAAGTTTTTCTTGTCTCTAAGTGTGCTAAGAAAATATCCCACACCATTGCACCACCACTAGCTGCCTGAAAAGTTGACACAAGGTCAAATGGATCCATGCTTTTATGTTGTTTATGAATTGAAATTCTGACTTTACCATCTGTCATTTCATTTTATGATGAAAATAAACTCCATAGTATACAGTCTCACTTGTGAAGTAATTGAAATCCAAATGCTCTAAATAGACACTATTAGCACAAACATTGAGCAGACACAGCGGCCGTGGCTGCCTCTGTTGGTGCCAAATGGCAACTCCTGAGGCTTAAAAACGAAGCCAGTGTTGGAATTAATCTACTTATACTCCCATATTAAAAAATATATAAATGATATAAGGGGTGCTCTATAACATTGATTTGAACTGAACTGAATTAACTCATTCATTCATTCATTCATCTGAGACAGCAGTTTTAATGTTCTTATCTTCTCTAAGGATATCTAATATACAGTCCATAGTGTCCCATTTATCATGCTCGTTGGTAGGTTCTTAAGCATTAAATTTAAACCTTTTTTTCACCTTCCTTTGGTTACTTTACTTTCTACCTCTTAGATATAGCGCGCAGTTATAACACACTTTTTAAAATATATGTATATGTATATATATGGTATATTTATGCTTATATCCTTACTCTCATTCCCCTTATTGTATCTGTAACATGCAACTTCTGTTGGTGCTGTGCTACTGGAAACTAAATTTCCCAGAGGAACCCACCCGAGGGATTAATAAAGTTTCATCTAATCTAATCTAAACTGGTAGGTTACTTAACAGCTGATCAAACCCAGCCATTGTTATTTGCTGTTTGCAAAACAGATGAAATCATCACTTATAATTGCTTATACTTTGCAGAGTTAAAAAAAAAATAAAGTAGAAACAAGCACTGGAATTTCCCTGTTTGTCCCAGTGCAGCAAATAAAAAAATGTAAAAAATGAGTTGCTTGAATATTCAGAATTTCAACATTTTCCTTTTGTTGGAGTGGATACCTAAATTAATTAATTATTTTAGGGCAAATTGGATTCGCAGAGATTTTAAGAGCATAAGTCACTCGTTCAGTTCTGAGATCAAAACACCAATGAATCACTGGCCACGCAAGAGAGTTAAATTGCATTCAGGCAGATCATTCAGGAGAGCCGATATCTACAGTGATAAAAGTGTACAAGATATCCTTCTCAATGTTCTTTACTGTGTATTTGAGGGAATTGATGCCATCCGCATTCATGGTCCAATGTGTTTGAAACAGTTTATCAGGATTCTTTGGATTTGGGTCATTGTGCGCGTCTCTTTGATGTTTGATCATCCTGTACCTGCCCGTCAGTAAGTCAGGTCGAGAAACCTGCATTCCACGTAAGACTATTCGTTTGTAGATATCATCGTCCTCACCACCCCAACCCCAGTAGGTGTTTGGGAACCCATTAATTTTCAAGTACTGATGTTTGTACAATGAAGCGACCCCACCAAAGAAGGTCTTATAGGGTAAGTCGAAATTAAATTTGTCCATGCCTATAGCCAAGTGTCGTGGATTGTCAAAACATCTGTAGAGGTTACGGTCATTTAGGGGAACCAGATCTACGTCAGAGAAGAGGAAGCAGTCATAATCATATTCCTTGAGCGCTTCGACATATCCTGCATTCATCAGTTTAGCCCGATTGAAGACTCCCTCTCCATCTTGGTTGATGACATAGACTCCGTAGTCCACAAGCTGTCGCTTCAGAATAGGATGCAAGTAATAAAGCCAGTGCTTCAAATGCTCGTGCCGATTCCGGAATGGGATGATGATTGCCACCTAAAGACATGACAATAACTTTTACTTTAACATTTGAAAAATTAGCCCGTGATTCACCAATAATTTGATTTGATTGATTCTAGGGTAGCTTTGCATGATTCAGTATTATCTCATACCAGGTGACAGTTCATCCTCTCTCTAGCTCTGTTTGCCTTCCCTTCAAGACTGCTTTCTTTTGTCTGGGAGCAAACCACAGGTGTGTTTGCTTGAAATGACCATATTAGTGTCACTGGGATCCAACTGTAGAAAGAATTGTCTGAATTGGAATGTTTGTAGCTTTCTGAAGCGTGTGCTTTTAGCTCATGATAATTGTGCTCATACAATGACAGACCTCATTATTTAAATGTGACGATGTTTAATATTAGCATGTATGTCACGTGTTATCTTTAAAAGCTTAAAAAAAACATGACGTTTTTTCTGAGTTTATTTCAAATGATACTGAATCGAATGAAGCCAAATAAAGAAATCTGTGAGTGAGTTAATCATTATATGATATATATGATACCATTTTATCTCTATATATTACCTCTAATTTCTCTTTTGGTTGGGTAAAATCAGGTTTTATTTGATCATTTACACCTGTTTAAGTATTGAAAATAAACTATGAAAAAAGAGTGCCAAAAACATGTAAAAATAAATACACAAACAAATAAATAAATCCTTACTTAAATAGTAAATTTAAGGAAACTTTTCCCCTTAAATGCAAGTTGCTATCAGTTGCTGGTTTCTTTCTATCCTCTCTTCTTCTCAAGTCATTCACCTACCTTCTGCTTTGCAACACAGTCTTTTGGCTTGAACCTTCCTCCTTTTTGAAGCAAAGGACTGACTTCCTTTCTCACATGTTCCCAAGTCCTTCCGAAATCAAACTCAACGAGGAGTGGACCTATGAGATCTGGGGGGTTTTCAGGGCAGGGGCCCAAAGTTAAGCTGACAGCAGATGGTGTCGGTGCCATCTCACTGCTTTTGTTTGAGGCTTTGATCCTCCTCTCCAACAGCTTCGCGACTTGCTCCTTTACCATCCCTGAAAATGTTTTGTTTCCCAGTGTCAAAATATGTTTCTCAGGAACAATAACCACAAAGCTTCTTCTGGAGTAGAATAAAACCAGCACAAAACATGCGACACTAACAAAAGAAAAAAGTACTAGAAAATTAAATAATCTTTTGAAGTTTCCTGCCATCTTTTATCTTGAGTATACTCAGCGGCTCTAATTTCCCTTGTTACAGCTCAGTTGCCAGCATATCTGTATGTTTGCAAGTCAAAGGTATTTCAAACAAAGAGCAACCCAACCGGTTTTTATTTTTGCTGTACGACTTCCTTGTTCACGTCACCTTATCAGGATAGGCCTCGCACCTGTGGTTATTAATTAAACATGACATCTTTTGACTAATTTCTCCAGTGTACAAGACTCTGTTGACTGTTTCATACCTAATTTGTTTGTAATGTGAAAGTAGATTACTTCCTGGCTTTCTGAGTAATTCAGTAAGAGAGCACTAGTACATTTTCCTAACATCACTTTCTTTAATGTATATCTTACCTCCAAGCAATTTCAGATGGCCAACAAAGTAATGTAGTGACAAGAATTAGTGATTATTATGGGAAAGGTTTAATTAAAAAAGTAAGTTCTGTTTGAAAATACGGATATAGTGATATTGGGGGAAAATAAATCTCTGAAAAGTTGTTAAAGTGTGCCCTCTCCTGGTTTGAATAATAGTGTTTAAGTTTGAGATCTGTCTACATGTGGTAATTTCTGTAATCCTCTGGACTGTCGCTGATAAGTATCCAATGCTCTAGATGACTGTCATCAGAAATTAAGAAACTGTTTCCATGTAATTGGGGACAATAGTCATGGAACACTGTCTCATATTGTTTGCAGCAGGAACTCTTTACAGATGAATGATGGGTCCTCTTTAGCAAAGTAATATTGGAACTGTTGGCAGGTTATGTATGTTTAGGATTGTGATTTTATCAGCAAAGCATAAACCAGCGTTTAATGACGTTGTTAGTACACACAGCTCCCTGTTTTCTGAATGATAATATGAACAAAGTCCAGCTACTGTATAATTACACTTAGACTTACTGACATCAGTAAATAAAGCTTGCCCAAAAAAGAAGAAGTCATTGTTTAAGTCATGGGACCAACTTAAATAGTGAACAGAGGCCATGCTCATCTGAAAGCATAAAAATATTCCAACTGACTAATATTGAAACACAAACGGATGAAATGCCACGGTGTTGAACTGATCCGATGATTGTCTCAAGAACACAGCTCCGTCCTTCCATCTCAAATCACCACAAGCATTCTACTCGACTTCTACTCGACCATTTTCATATATCAAATAATTTCAAAGATGGTTTTTGTGTGTGTGTGAAATGGTCCATCCACCCACTTCCAGGCAGCTTTTTGGCACAGTGAAATCTACCGCCATAATCGAACATGAACATGTCAAAAACTATTAAAGATAAAAGCCTGAGAGTTTTACTGCCCTTTCTTACTATCAGAATGAATCAGGATCTGTGATTGTTGCTCAATCTCAAGTTGTACCACCAAAAAAACAAATAAATAAATAAATAAAACAAACCACCACCCCCCTAACCCCCAAATATCTTTAAAGATATTTAGTTACTTTCTTTTTCTGCATTCCTTTTACCAAATGCAGAACAGAAATGGCCAAACTTTCGCATCTTTAATGTAAGCTTTTGGAAGTATTCCTTCTACATTTTAAGTTTAATGCATTACTGTTACACACAGGACACATGTTACATGTTTCTGTTTGTCTCACAGAGCTTGTTCACAGAGTTAACCTCCTAGGTTATGGAATAAAAACAGAGCCCGGACTTGTTAAATGAACTGAATGCTCTCCCCGTGACCCCACTCACTGACAGTATATTGAAGAGTAACATTGAAAGACTGGAGGAATACGTTTCAATCCAGTTCAAAATCAGCTGAGTGGAAAGACAGGCACTGTTTTGAAATGTGAGCAGACCTCCATTGCAGTAGGCATTCTCTGGTCAGCTGATTTGAAACTGCCACGTCTTAAACAAGCCCACAGACCTTTGGGAAAAATTTTTGCTTCACAGAGTGAAATCAGATACTTGATTCACAATAACAGCACAATTAGCAATCAGTTCTAGTTCAGCAGTTGAAGCTGGAGCTGGCATCATCAAAGAATCGGTTATAACCTTTCAGCATATTGTTATTGAAGTGGTCTGAGAGGGAAGTGGACTCTTGCGCCTCATCTGGAGTGAGTTTTTAGGGCTTAGAAGATCTAGCCTATGAGTGGAAACGCTGAGCAGTATATCTTTAAAAAAACAAAAACAAAACTGATAAACAGTGTAAAGTTGTCATGGTCTCCGTGCCTGCCCGGTCAGCCCCACAAGGCTACATTTGCTGTTTCGGTTCTCTCCCTCTCTCCCTGGGCGGAGCTCACTCTGGGCTCCCGCCCTTGGCCCACACACCTGACAACAATCACCTGTCATCACCAGGAGCACTATTTGAGGCTGGAACACAGATCCTCTCGTCGCTGGATGATTGTATTACTGACGTTAGTGTTCTCACAGCTCCTGTGGGCTTGTGCTTCGTGATTTGTGATTCGTTTGTGACTTCCCTTCTCTTCTGCTTCAGACCTCCCCCCCCGGACCTGCGACCTCCCTGCCGTGTGAACGTGTGTGAGTGTGGGCAAGAAGACGTGAGCGAGTGTGAGAGAGCTACCCTGTGATTCCCTGGAGTTTTGGATTCCCTTCACTGTATATTGTGCACTGGAACTGTGAATAAACTGTATTTTGGAGACATCTACCGCTCTGCGCTTGAGTCCCTACAACCAGATCGTGACAAAAGTAGTATAAAAACTATCAATGCAGATGTGGTGGCACATCTTTAACCTGTTAAAGTGACTTTTTCCAATCCTGTGAACAGAGATGGGCAGTAACGTGTTACTTGTAACGCGTTACTGTAATCTGATTACTTTTTAAAAGTATCGAGTAAAGTAAGGGATTACTATCGCAAAAACAGTAATTAGATTACCGTTACTTTACTGTAGGAACGCTGCAGGAGGGCGGGGCATAGACTGCTAACCTCCTTATTTTGACTTTTTAAACTTCGTTTTTGTTCCTGTTGCAGCTTCAATATAAAAAGATTTTCTTTAATTAAAAGTCGTTGTTTTTCATATCTTGTGCTTCTTGAAAAAATGGCTTTGAACTCTGATTCTTGATGATCGCTTGTCTATAGCATTTTGTTTCAATTTTAACCGTGAATAGTGAGAAGACAACGTAGATGGGCTGATTTTGTTTGACAAAAGCGAATGTTTGCACGACAAATGCATTCAAATGCCGAAAGGCCAGTGGCAAAAACAAATAGGAGCTGCAAGGCGACCAGAGGGCTCCACAAAAATGATCCAAAAGACGAAAGAGAAAATATCAGTTTGTCAACACCATGAACAAACAACATTTTCAGATATGGACAGATATGGGCAAAAACCTCCAATATTTTCGCCCAGTTTTGTTGTTTGTGATTTTTGACAAACCTTTATGCAATAAACGTAAACAGTACACGTAATTTATGTATTTCATTTCCTATTATATGAGGTGTGAAAAGTTCTCCTGAACCTAACCGAGTAGTCAAAGAAATCACAAAAAATAAATAAGTAAAAATTGGTGAGCCTTTGTGAATTGTGGCCTCATCTTCCTAATTTTGCCCAACAGGAGTGGCACCAGATGCGGTCTTCTTCTGCTGTTGTCCATCTGATTTCAAGGTTTGATGTGTTGTGCATTCAGAGACGCTCTTCTGCATATCTTGGTTGCTATTTGAGTTACTGTTGCACTATCAGCGTGAAGCAGTCTGGACATTCTCTGTCACCTAAGTCACTTACGCCACTTTCTTCCCCTTTGATTTGTTTCTTTGATTCTTGATTTTATCTTTATCTTGATCATAACCATTTCCAAATGCCTAAATGCATTTGGTTGCTGACTTTCTGCATTGACTTAGAACTGAAGTGTTCCACTGTGGATTTTCCTATTTTTTAAAGGCAAACACCAATTTTAATTGACAATGCAGATTATTTTGTGGACAAATTAAATAGCTACAATAAATGATCAGCCAACTAAACCGTATTTTCATTCCCCCCCCCAGTTCAGTTCAGTTACATTTTATTTATATAGTGCCAATTCACAACAACATATCAGGGCACTTTATCATCATAAGTAAAAGAACTTTAAATGTCATAGATTGAAACCTGATGATATAGCAAGCATTTTGCTTCTGTGGGAAGAGGGGAGGGAAAAAAAACCTCCCTTTGAACAATAAGAAACCTCCAGCAGAACCACAGTAAGGGCGGCCAGCCAACTGCCTCCACCAGTTATGCTGAATGAAAGGGAGAAAATAAGAGCATAGAAAAACCACAAACAAAGCAGAAATTGAGAGGGAGAGAAGATGAAAAGGTAATGACATACAGTAATTACAAAGACAGCAACAGAGAGGAGTGTAGATCATATCCAGTACTGGTCATCTTACTTCAACTCAATATCCTGGCAGTAATCACATGCCTCTGACTCAGCTTTTGTCTTGGCAGGGAAATAAAATCTTGTCAGGAACTTCAGAAATAAGGGTGGAAAATTTAAATGTCTCAGAATAGCTAACCATATTGTGCTGAATTTAATTACCCAATTGCCAAAAGTGTATTCTCGACAGCACTAATGGTCTGTGTTCCCAAGACCTTTTGACTATAGTAGATAGCTTATTATCATTAACTTGCAGCTATGAAATTGAGTAAGACTGAAAAAATCTAAACAAAGCACAATGACATTTTTTCTTTCCTTTTTGTTCTTTTCAATTTTTTCACCCTACACTGTGCTGCACTCTGCAGTGCTCAGAGGTTAATATGTTTGTGGCAGCTAACACAACACGCAACCATCAATGAAGCAACAGTGGTTCGGATGATTTATTGTCAATAAATGTTCCTGATAAATTTTTTTTCCGGGGCAAGAGCAAGCATTTGCTTTAATGACTGCTTTCGTTTCAGTTAAACCAAGTTCAACTAAACTCGATTAAAAACGTTGTAAACAGTGACCTCTAGTGGCTCTCATGTACAGATGCCATTCTATAATAGTCAAGACTGTTTCAAACCGTAAACTATGTGGCTATTATTGTTGTTTTTAATATTTTACTTGTGTTTTCATTGATATATTATTTTTTGTTTTAATAAAGTCCTTAGTTGTGAATTGAATGCATGCCTC